TGTGGTAACACATCCTGACAAGGGCAATTTTAGGGTTTATTCTGGGTTACAATCCAAAGGTTTGGTCCAGCATAATGGGGAAGTCTAACTGGCAGAGGCTTGACATATTGTATCACATCACATCCATGGTCAAGAAACAGAGGGATAGATGCTGCTGCTTAGCTCCCTTTGTCCATCCATGCAGTCCAGGACTACAGCCATTGAATGGTGCCACTAACAGCTGGCCTTCCAACCTCAGTTAATGTAATCAAGATAATCTGTCACAGATATGCCCAGAGGCCCATCTCCAGGACTACCATCTTCTACACTCTTCCAGGACGACAATCAACACTGACTATTGCACTCATCTCATTTGTTGTTTGGGAAAGTTGGAATTTCGCATCCTAACCACAGAGGGATGCTTTCCATTGAGATTCTTGCTACAACATGAAAATTACCAGCAAACCCTTCTGAACCATGGGTCAGGGAGAACTAACTAAGTATGATAGGAAAGTATCCATAAGTCATGTTGCATGTGGGTATTGGTTTGGAACATGTCAAGATCCTCTGATGGAAATCTTCCCCAGATAATTAAAAACCACCATGAAACTGCTGATGAATGCCATTAGTCCTTTTTGTCACTTCAGATAAAGCAGTGTGGTACAAAAGAAAGTGGACCATCATTTCCATCTACTCTCTGAGAATGCACCTGCCTGCCTGTACACACCAGCAGATAACCACATTCTGTCATTCCATACCATTTTCCAAGGATCAGAGGAAGTGAAACCAATCATTCAGGAGTAAGGGAAACAGAGGTCCAAATTCATACATCATGGCCCCAGTAGGCAAAAGATACAACATGCCCTCTCAATGTAAAATCATCACATGTCCTCCACTACCCTAGATGCCCAGGCTCAGAAAAATGACCCAGCAAAACTGTGGGTGTAATAAATCTACAGGAATGTCACAATGCCACCCTATTCAGACAACCAAGTGGAAGCCACTCAGATATTTCTTGAAGAGCCTCCTGCCTCTCCTCACACATTCCCATTTTGTCTTCTGTCAAGGGAAAGCCCAGAGCCCCAGGAAAGTATTGGGGGGGGTGTACTCTCTGTTCTCTTGGTCAGTCAGTTAGTTTCCTCCTCTGGAAAAGTACATGAAGGGGGCCACATCTGGCTTGCTGGGGAAGCCAGCTGAGGGAAAGGTAGTCATATTGGATGTCATGTGGCAGCTGGGACCTGAGAGAAAGATCTCTGGGACCCCTGCTAACTCCTCTACAGTGACCTTGGCTTCCAGGGGAAACCAGGAAGTGAACAGAAAATCAAAGGTTTTGTTTCATCACAGAAAAAGCTTAAAGATGCAATCACCTAGGAAAAAGAAATACAAAACAAGATTATTGTCATAAAGAAAAAACAAAGACATTAAAACAAAAGATAGGAAAAATACTATGAGGAGAGGAACTAAGGCTTGGAAGACAAGTCTTTCCTCAACAGTCAGAAACTTGTCTTCCTAAGGTTCTAAGTTTGACTCATATACATGCTCTAGACTGACTCCTCTGGGGACATCCAATGATTGTTAAAGTCAATAAATATTAGCTAGAAATACTAAGACATAGCAAAGCCTTCTTCACTGGGTTTGGAGTGTGTGCAGGGTCTGAGGTGTCTCCCCCTGCCTCCCTTTCCTCTATAGCTGGATGCACTCTGACTCTGTGTATTTTATAGCCTCTTCATCTGGAGAGAAAAAGACAATTTACCCTAGTTAAAGACATTCTTTTCCACTTAACCTAAGGACAGTTACAGTGGGAAGGAACTTGCCTAAACCAGGCCACATATTTAAGACTGTTGCTGGAGGCTTCACTGTAGCTGGTAGAGCACTGTGGTTAATATTCACCTACAGGACCTCCTGGGACTACATAATGGGTTGTGCCTTCCTCCCTTTCCCCCACCTCTCCTTCCCCACACAGATACTTCCATCTAGCGAATGAACCAAATTATCAGTCATATCGCATGATCCTGCACAGGGCTGTCTGCCAATGGTTGATTTTGAGTTAAATACAAGATAAGCCTCCCTGATGGTGTTAACCATTAGCCCACTGTTGACCATTTGCTGAACCATAGGTGTAAATGTTTAACAGAAGGACTGACACATGCAAACACATGCATACACACACACACACACACACACACACACACACACACACACACACACAAATATGCTCTCAAGTACTGTGTACTCTTTAGCAAGTTGACCAGTGGGGAAAAGAAATGAATAAAGCAAGAGTAGAAATGATCTACTGTGGAAACTCTGTCTAGAGTCTCTGTGAAAGCATTTGTACACTGTTCCATGACTTATATTTTGATGGGAGCTGGTAATCCCACAACTGCCATTGCAGACATTCTCCCACATCCCAGCTCTCACAGGGCAGATGAATTACAGAGGCTGTTAAGCTCCCATGTCTGGTGAAGCATGAAGCATGGCTGTCCCCAGTCTTCCATATGGTGGTTAGATGATTGTTGGTGCTTTTGGGCTACATTTCTGAAAGTAGCAACTTTATCTATTTTTGGAATTCCTTGGCCTGAGAGACCATGAGGATATCCCTTCTTCAAAAGATGCAAAACTGTTGGGATATGTTGTCATGAATTATGACAGACAATTTTGGACACCCCCCCCAACTAATTAAAAAATCCATATATCAGAGTTTGGCTGGTAGTTCAAATAACTCTTAATTTAAATCACTCTTTCATGCCGACTTCAGTTATAAATATTGTTCTGAGATTGTGCTGGCTGGGACTGAGACCCTATTAACTTGGGAGGGGGCAAGTCCTAAGTGAGGTCATATATTAGAGAAGTTGTGGTTCCCAGCACAATAACTACCATTATGGTCCTCGTGACTTGAGGCAAGCCATATCATGTTTTTGGATTTCCAGCCTCAGTAAAAAGCGTGCTGTCAAGCCTTCTGGTGTCTACGTCTCTCCTAGCATCTTCTCTTGTCTAGCCACTCACTATCAGGTCTAGTGATGACAGGGAATAAAAAATGAAGATGTTCTGAGCTTGGTGGTTCATGCCTTAGTCACAGCACTTGAAACACTGGGGCAGGAGAATGACCATCAGTTTAAAGCCAGACAAAGCTGTAGAGTCAGACCCTTTTTGAAATGAGAAAAAGAGAAGGAAGTAGGGAGAAAGGAAAGATAAAGAAAAATTTCTCCTCAATCTTGATGATAGAAAAATGGCATCAAATAACTTCTTGTTGCTTGAGAATGGACCTGAGTTTGTCTCTAACACTATGGGCTATATATAATAAGGCATCATTCACTTAAAAGTTCATTAAGAGGGTGGGTCATGTCAAATGTTTATCATAAAAACATGTTTTGAGGGATAATGGGCAGATTTATTGTGGTGATGGTATCTTAAATGTGCAGGCCTGCCTCCAAAGCCATCAAGTTGTATATGATAAATACACAGACTTTTGCTTGGGTTTGAATTAATGCCTCAATGGTGCAGTTTTTACAAACAGAGGAACTCCAGGCCCATGTTGCTTCATGGCAGGGAGTACTCTGATAGATATGGTAAGTGGTTTTATTGTTGAGCAGGCATAAAGTACATTTATACAAACTATGGTGGCTGTGACATCACTAGGTGATGTCATCTTGGACCACTGGAGTACACACATGCTGGCAGTGATGTGAATGTTCCTACTTAGAGTCTAATTATGTCTGTGTTTTGGACATACATTGGAATTTTTTAACAAAGAAGTTTTTATTCTTTTAAGACCTTGTTCCTAGATTATAATTATTTGGTAAAGACCTAAAAGAACGAAAGAATATTCAAATTAGACACTGGACTAGCAATGACCAATAGAACTTTCATTAAGATAGAAACACTACAGATTATATTGAGCTGTAGCCACTAGCCATACTGAGCTGGGAGCACATGAAGGAACTGTGCTGGGTACCACTGAGGACCTGCACACTCAGTCTTGCCTTGTTTAACTTTCAATCAAGTCGTGATCCCATTGTAACATTTCTTTCAATGAAGCCTCACTACTTGTGCTAAGGCAGAAATTAAAAAGAAGCTGTAAAGGGGCTGGACATGGTTGTGAACCCTTCAATCACAGTACTTGGGAGGCAGAGGCAAGTCTGAGCTCTGGGCCACCCAGGGCTACACATGAGATCCTATCTCAGAATAAATAAATAAATATGTAATTTTGGTTATTGAGCAGCTGTATTCCTGTGACTAGTAAGGTAGATGAGCAGATTTGGGCTGAAGAAATGGCTCAGTGGTTAGGAGTACTGGCTACTCTTCCAAAAGACCAAGGTTTAATTCTCAGCACTCATAGGATGGCTTATGACCACCTATAACTCTAGTCTGGCCTTGGATATATGTCTGCCCAGAGTCTCTCTCTTCCCCTCCCTCCTTTCTTCCTTTTCTCCCACTGTCCTCCCCTCTTTCTCCCTCTCTTCTTTCCCTCCCTCTCCCCACACTCCTCCTTTCTCTTTCACACACACATACACACACACACACACACACTCCTTCTGCATACATGTGGTATACAGACATACATGCAGGTAAAACACCCATGTTAATGAAATAAAAATAAGATAAAGATGAGCATGTGTATGCAAAGCTGGACATGGTCCATCCCTACTGCCTCGTCCAGATTTGTGATGACTTGTAGGCTTCTTTGAAAAGATCTTTGGGAGGGTTCAGGGTGGAGTCACTCAGAGAAATTGTCTGAAGAACCAAAGACATTCTAAAAGTGTTTGAGATTCTGAGGAACTCCCAAGAAAGACCAGGTCTCTTCCATGGGAGCTACTGTAAGGAAGCTGGTAGTGCCAAATTACAAGGAGTTCAGTGACACATGCCTAGAATCTCCACACTTGGGAAGCAGAGACAGGAGGGTTGTGAGTTTGCATCCAACCTAGACTATATCACAAGATCCATATTTTTAAAGTTTTTAATTAGTTAATTATTCAAAACTGAGTAGAAAAATATAAGACTCATGTTGACCTTTCTCCTTTCAGGAGCTCATTGATGTGGACAGTGAGGTGGTGTTTGAGCTGGCATCCTATATTTTGCAGGTAAGTCGATATGGGTGCACACAAAAGGAAATGTGGCCTCTGTGCCCACCCAGCAGCCATTTCCAGCTTGACTTTTTAACATTTTCTAGCCACAGACGAAGGAGATATTAGGAATGCTGATGCCATGGCCATGATTAGAGGTTTGCACTATTCCAGAATTTCAAGGCAGTATATCATATGACCTCAAAGGGAAGTTATGGATTTAATCTGTGATTAGTTGATTCTCTGACCCCCATTGTAGTGAGATAGTCCTTCTGTGGCACTGACCACGCCCATTGGGGGTGGAGCCATGGGCGGAAGTGACCTGTGAAAGGAGGTCGGAGAGAGAGCTGGGAAAAGCTCTCTTGCTGGCATGACTCCGACTGGAGAGCATCGGGTTGAATTTCCTGGTGTTCATCTGTCTAGGTTGTAAGTTATTTCTCCCTGAATAAACATCTATTCAACCTATTTGTTTATCCTGATCCGTATTTAACCATGATACCCCACTTTCTGTAAGTTTGGTACATTCATTTGCCCTGAGAAAAACCAAATGAATACCTAGAAAGGATCACCTCCTCTCCCCACAAAAAAGTCAAAGTAACAGTCTTTAGTTGGAGACAGACAGACAGGCAAGAGTATCATCTATAACGTTGGCAAGATGAGTTGAAGTGCTATCATGAAGTTATGCTTTTAAACAAGTATTTATTGTATGCTGCTGTGTCCAAGAGAGTCTACCACATTCACTGATGTTCACATGGCCTCTGGCTTCCAATTCTTTGGTGTAATTAGGAAAGAGCTCTCAATTCCAAAAGTGACAGAAGAAATAAACTTTTCTAGCCTGGCACAGTGGCATGCACCTGTAATCCCAGCTGCTTTGGAGGTTGGGCTAAGAGGGCAGACTGCAGCTGTCTAAGGGAGGAAGGAAGGGACCAGAAGGCAAGGGGAAGAAAGAGGGGAGGTTTCAAGGAAGACAGGGGGAACTGAAGGCAGGGAGGGGCGAAAGAGAGTAGGGGGAGGAGTAAGGAAAGATGGGAGAGAGAAGTAATTGTGTATGTATGAGGAAAGGAGAGAAAATGAACAGGGAGGGAGGGAGGGAGAGAGGGAGGGAGGGAGAGAGGGAAGGAGAGAGGAAGGGAAGAAGGGAGGAAGAGAGGGAGGGAGGGGGAGAATTTTATCCAGATATGTGCTCAGTTTAGAAGTTTTAAGCTTAATTTAGTTAGATCAGGGCCTTGAAATGTAAACTTCATATAACTTTGTAAAGTTTACATTGTGTCTCCTATTCAGATGATGCATATATATATTCTTCCTGCCTCTAACCCATCAGATAGGGTCTCACTATGCAACCAGGCTAGTTTCAATGTCAGAATCCTCCTGCCTGAGCATCCCAATTGCTGGGAATTACAGTTGTGGGAATGTTCCCCCACACCTGGCTTAGCATTCCTTGTCACTGAATTCCAGAGAGAAGGTGGCAGCAGTAGGAAGCTGGTCTTACCATATTCAGCAGGGACATAAATTTTCACTCTAACAATGGATCTGATTCACTCATTTCTTTTTTCTTTCACAGGAAGCAAAAGGCGATTTCTCTAGGTGAGTCTTATTGGTTTAAATATATACTTGTTGCTTTTTTGTTTAAAGAAACTACCTTACATGGACCTTGTAGGAGAATGGTGTATTGATTAGTGAGATCCAGCTGCGGTACTGTCAACTGAACAGGAAGTCTGCAGGGCACACTCAGTGGTAGTGAAGATGGTATTCTCCCTAAATGAACCTCCTGAGGTTACTGAAAAGCTGAACTCAGAGCCCAGTGTCTCCAATGGCCATTATTCTGTGTGTCTCTGGGGAGCAGGGAATCACTCCAGTTACATATACCTGGAGAGTTCCAAAGAGTAAATAGATGCACATCTTTTTTCCTCTCAATTTAGTTGCTGACTTTCAAGGGGGAAAATCCATGTCATATAGGGAAATATGTTTCAGGGAAGTATCAACAGCATAGAAATACCATTCCTGTCTGTCTTCCATGGAAAGATGCTATGTTAAGGGAAAAACAGAATTAACTGCTGAGGACAGCTTGAGTAATCCTGTGGGGCTGCCATCTTGAATCCTGTCATTGGCTCCTTAAGGACTGTGTCGCAGAACAGCATGGCTGACATTGTCCCCAGTCTCTAATGATCTGCATGGAGCCCGCACAGCACAGGGGATTGTAGCTAGCCCTCAGCAGAACTAACTGTTCACAGGCAGGCATTTCCCAGGATTCTGTCTTAACATCTAGTGGGGAAAGCGCAGGATAGTCTAGTCTTTAGGATCAAGAATTGTCTGTAAAAGAAATGACTGTATGGCCAAGAAAAATAAAACTGTGTGCTTCCAAGAGCTGGGGCTCATAGCTCAGTGGTGGGACATGTACCTGACACATGAGACCAGTTATAACCCCCCCACACATACCCCCACACCCTCCCCACTGCCCATGCACTGGAGAAAGAAGAAAAGAAAGGCACAATGTTCTAGACTAACAGGATAAAGGTAGAAAATGAATATCAACAAGAAACAGACATCAGATCTGGGGGAATGGTGCAGGGGATAAAGTGTTTACAGTGCAAGCATGAGGGCTTGAGTTCAAAGCCCCTGCATCCATTTAAAAAGCACAGTACTTACTGTACATCTGCACCTCCACTGCTGTGCCAGAAAGAGGCAGAGACAGAAACATCCCTAGGACTTGCCTGTCAGCCAGTCAACCAAACTGGTGAGCTCCAGGTTCAGTGACAGACCCTGTCTCAAAAAGAAGGGGCCCGGGGGTGGTGGTGCATGCCTTTAATCCCAGCAATCACTCAGGAGGTAGAGACTAGAGATCTCTGTGAGTTCAAGGCAAGCCAGTAGGGGAAGTGGGTAAAGAAGACACCTGAGTGAGCTTCTGGTTCCTACACTCACTTACACAGAAGGGTGTTCCTGCACACGCACAAACACAAATCTTCCAAGTCAGGAGTGCATACATATTGCTATTTTTGAAGAATTTTTATCTATAAATGTACCCTAACCAAACTTGAGGTGTATGTTCTCAGTCAGCTATCTCAGCTAAATGGAAAGAAATATTTTAAAATCTAAAATGATAGTTGGCAAACCTTTTCTGTAAAGGCTGTATATCTGGCTTCCCCAGGGCACATGGTCTCCACTGCAGAGACTGCACCTTTTCCAAGTATCAAAGGAGCCTCATGTGGTAGGAGAACTAAGGAACATGGTTGTGTTTCAATAAAACTTTATTTAGGGAAATAGAGGTTTGACTATTACATAAATCCTTGTGTACCATGAATTTTTCTTCCTCTCTTTCCTTTTCTCTTGTTCCTCCTTCCCTATCTTCCTTACCTCCTCTATTTGAAAATGTAGGAACTACTCTTCATTCCTGAGCCGTACAAAAACAAGTGTGGATGTATAGTTTGGGCCTGTGAGCTAGAGTTAGTTGACTCCTTGTTGGTCTAAATTGTAGCCCTTTATCTCAGCTGAACTGTTTTCTGTAAAGAGAGCTCCATGCCTCCTTTATTTAGGCTTCCCTAGTCTTTGGCAGGAAAAAGAGTTAGATTTTCACTATGTAACAGGTGTTAGAGGCCTTAGCTGGGGACTTTGAACTTGGCATATGGCTAGTCCTCATTTACTTGTTGTTGAATGAAGCTTGTAATCTGCTCCTTTCTTATGACCTGAGTTTGGGATTATAATTGAGGATTTCAACAAGTGTAAGTTCTGCAGGTCTGGGAAAACTGCTTGAAAGGCCACAGATCCAGTGGAGTCCAGTGCCTGGTGTTCTTACTCTGAAGAAACTTTTCCATTGCCAGCTCAGAACCCACAAATAATATTTCTTTTTGAGAGCACCCTGGCCAGTGTGTATGTGCGGGTGTCTATCTGTCCATCCGTGTGTGTGTGTGTGTGTGTGTGTGTGCTGGAAACAACCTCCTCTGTCCCATGGGTCCTGGGAATGCAGCCACACAGGCTAAGCACCAGGCAGGAAGAAGAATAGACTTGGCCTGGAGTCCTTCGTGGCCCCGTTGTCCAGCTCCAGCATGCCAGTGTGTTAGCTGAAAGCAGATATACAAAGGCCATTTCATTGGTCAGAGCTGTAAAGTGGCTTGTTTGTAGCTGCAGCTGTCTACAGGAGAAGTAGCTGTTGGGAGAAGGGAAGGTCAGACAGTTCATGCAAGGTTAGTTTATCTCATCCTGTAAAATTCACGCCACAGAATGCAGAGGTGAGCTGGGATGTGCAAGCCCCCAATAACACATCATTTCCAAAGCAGGCTCAAGATCAAGAACTTCAGAATTCTCAGGGCCACTGTGCAAACATGAGGACTGTAGTTCAGCATATAAAAGGCTGAAAGCAAAATTGTGCATGTGTAACCCAGCACTGTGCATCGGTAAGGGGACAAAGACAGCAGGATTCCCCAGTGCTTATTGGCCAGCTAGCCAGACAGAACTAAACTATAGGCTCAGTAAGAGACTGTCTCCTGAAAATAAGATACAGAGCAATCAGGGAAGACCCCTGATGCCAACCTCTGGTTACCTGCAGACACATGTATTCACACTCATGGAAACACATCAATAAACCATATACATAAAACATACATTTCTTATGTGTACCTCTTGAGGGACACTTCTAAAAAGACTTCTCCAAACTAGGAGTTGACTATATTGGTTTGATAGTTGAACATCAGGCATTTTAGATTTGTCATTTGCACATTATTTTAGTTTTGTAGAAACTAGATTTTAATATTAGTAATTAACCTTAGTTCTATGAGCAACTGGATAGTTTTAATTTGTAAGCATTACCTGTCATAAATATATTTTTCTCAACAACATCAATAAAAATAAGCTTAGAAGTACAGACCTTTGGAGAAGATACCATAGAGTCTAGGTGGTCAAATAGCCTTTTGAATGAATGACCTTACACAAAAGTCAAAGTAACTCTGGGGCTAGAAAAATGTCTCAGTGGTTAAGAATGCTGGCTTCTCTTTCAGAGGACTTGAATTCGATTCCCACCATCCACATGTCAACTCACAACCTTTTATAACTCCAGTCCCAATATATTAGAACCTTCTTCTGGTCTCCAAGGGTAGTGCATTAATGTGGTGTACAAACATGCAAGCAAACATACACATTAAGATAAATTTTTTAAAAGTAAAAGTCTTCCACAGCCTGAGGGTCTTGAACCTATCCCTTCCTAAAAGCCTACCCTGCCTTAGGACCTGTGTGTCTACAGTCGGTTCATCAAGTGTGATCTGACTCTACGTATGTGGAATGAGTACTCAGAACTTACAAACCATGGTACATCTTTGTTGAAGCATGAGAGGAAGGAGGTTATGCTTGCAACTGAGAGAGGCTGGAATGCTGACATAGTGTTTACAGGAAGAGGCTGATAAGGAGACAACCCTGAGCAAGAACCTCTCTGCTGTGCCACTCATGGACTCTTCTGGCCCTTCTTTGCTCCTCTCTTTTCTCCTTAGCACATCCCTGAAGACGTTTCTTGCCCATTTCCCCTTTCAGTCAATAGAATGAGCACATCCTCTTCTTACATTTTTTTGAGACACAGCCTCTCTATATATCTCTGGCTATCCTGAAATTCACTATTAGACCATGCTGGCCTTGAACTCACAGAGATGGGCTTGCCTCTGCCTCCCGAGTTCTGGAACTAAAGGTTTTTTGCTACACAACTAGCATTCTTAATGTGATAATGAAAAATGGGGTTAGCAATGCTGAAAGCCAATGGCTGAGTTAAAGACAGTTAAGTAAATAGTGCCCCATGATAGTGAGAAGCATGTACCATGCCTGTTGATATTCTGACATAAGGTAGACAAGTCTGTATGCTATCATTAAAGGGTTCGGAAATAGTCTTATCTAAAAATAATGTTTTCTCACTTGTATTATTTTCCGCAGCACAGCACAAATAATCTTGTTTCATTTCCTGATATGTGTTCATGTTTAAAAACAAATTGCATGTGTCACCTTTCAGGAAGTGAGCAGAGTTGGCATTTCTGTCTGAAAACAATTGAATAGCCTCTGAGCTATCAATCAAAACAGCCATTGGCACTCATGTTAGGTGGAGTGGGCCCAATATAGAATAAACCAAAAAGTCCTTATATAATCATCATGGATCAATGTTAGTCAACTAGCAGATATTGCCTGTTATGTACACATTACAATGTACCAGTTTCTTCACTGCTTGACTCTTTTTGTATATGGAGTATTTGTATATATGTGCGAAGTCACATGTGTACATGTGCGTATATGCCAGGGGTCTGTATCAAGTGCCTTCTTCTATGCTCTACACCTTAGTCTTTGAGACAGTGCCTCTCACTGATTAGTGACTGGCCACTGAATCCCTGCGATCCTCCTGCCCCCTCTTCCCAGCTAGGATCACAGACACATACCACCATGCCTGGCTCTTTACATAGGTAGTAGGGATCTAAACTCAGGTGTCATCTTTATACAGCAAGTGGTTTAATCACTGAGTTACCTCCCAAGCCCCTCTAAAGATGTTTTTATTTAATATATAATTTCTAATGTCTTGTAAAAAATCCTTGAGCTACTATAGAAAAGTAATATCTGTTGCTTGC